GAGGTGGGGGTGGAGTGGGGTGGGGGGGTGATCCATTGTCTCACTGACCACCAAGGGCCACTAGAGTCCATACCAGGTGTTGACTCAGGATCCATACTGCTGATGACCACTCACCTGCTGAGCTCCTTCAGCACCTCCTCCAGATGTTCCTTCTCAGTGGTGAGGTACTGGTTTTTCTGGTGCAGGGCCTGGTTGATGAGGACCAGACTTTTCTCCAGCAGACACAGAGACTCACAGGGTCCAGGACTGCTGAGGTCCCTGGGGATTCCAGGGCTGCTTCTCATTAGGTCATGGACCCTGGCCTCCAGAACCTCCTTCTCCTTGGTCTGGTCTTCCTGGTTGTGGGGGAGAACGCTGTGGTTGAAGTGTTGAAGTGGAGACTGAAACTCTTTCCAGGGATTTTGTCTCCTCTGGTTGTTGTCCATGTTCTGAAACTGGTCCCAGGAATCTACAGGAGAAGGGTTCTGGGTCTGGGACTCAGTTTCTTCTCCTGATTCTGGAGCCCTGGTCCATCTCATCAGCTGCTTCATTCTCTCCAGTAGAACCTGCTTCTGTTTGACCAGGACCTGGTTCTTCAGGTACACTGCCTTGTTCAGGAGGAGGAGCCTCTTCATGGCCGGACACAAAGAGTCACAGCAGACTGGGAGCTGGACAAGTTTCTGAAAACCAGACTGGTCCGGGTTTGTGGAATCCGGCCTCATCGTCATTCTTGTTGGGTTGGTCAACAGATGTTCCTTTGACTCTCAACTGCAGCTGTTCTCTGCTGCCACCCTCTGGTGAATGGTGGATGTTTTCAATATTTGCCTTAAACACAAGTTTTGGTTCTTGTCCCTTTATCTCTTTGTCCTTTACAGATGATGTCATAACGTCCTTAGATCTTTCTGTATTCAGGTCTTTGAACCACTAACCTTCATCTTACGGTTGTGACTCTACAGTCACCTCCATCACTCATGTACCAATTTTACACCAAATCAAGTCGGTTCACAGTTCAACCACTGATAGAATTCATCCAAAAAATCTTACCCTAACTCTCCATTACTGTGTGTACTGTGCCATGACTGTAAGTGCCCCACTAAAGCAGCAGGGGGCGCATTGACATTTTATTTGCCTGTTGAGGCTGCAGTAGAGTCAGTGACTGCAGCTGCACGTGCCACGGCTAATGCTAATGCTAATCCCACGCCACAGATTAGATTAAATGGGGATAAAAGTGGTGTGTGAGTGAGTGGAGGGGTCACCTGGCCTACATGGTCATTGGTCATTATTGGTCATTGTAGACGCACACATCCTTGTGCATTTGTCCCGTTTTGGCAGCACGCGTGGACGTTCGACTCACCACTGCCGCACATCTGCCAGCAGAAGAATTACAGTTGCGGGAACTCTTCACACCTGAATGAAGTTTTATTTTAAATAAAAATACAAACGCATGAAAATAACAAAGAATTTTCATATTAAAACAAATACGTGAACACAGTTAACGCGTATGCTAGTTGAGCAACAGTTAGCTGAGCTATAATGGTCAGTCCGATTAAGGCAGTGGAAGAGAATCAGAAAAATAATCTTGGACCAGGGACCAGAGTGTTAGCATGTGCTGACATATCTGTAACCAGTGCTAATCGTGTCCGTACGCTACAGCACTTTGTTTTTATGGTTCAAGTAAAAATAACAAAAGTAAACAAAAGCCTTCAAAGAAGTCTGAGGAAACGCACGCCAGCGTGCACAAAACACATGACAAACACATCAACAAGAGGAGGAGGAGAAGAAGAAGAAGAAGAAGAAGACGCTTCAAGAGCACTTTAAGATGTTGCATGGATTAGCATATTGGCTAGTTGCTAGCATATCCTGTTCAGATCCATCTCAGTCCATTTCATCCAAGACACCACAGTTACCCATAATCCTTTGGTACAGATGTCTGTTATGGTTGATGTGATGTCATCATGTCGATAGGCAGTAGGTGGAGCTCTAAACCATGACATACTGACACTGTCATCTGACCACAGATTCCCACTCCTCAGAATTCCCATCTTCCCAACACTGGGATGTGTCTTTTTCTCTTTCTCTTCGGAGGTGGGCTCAGACGCACATGCCCCGCCCACTTCCTGTCAGACCTGACATATGTTGTAATAGACGGTGTGGGCGTGTCTTTCGGCTGCTGAGTCGCCCGTGGCCTCAAACATGGAATCTGTGCTGGGGTGAATTTCAGTCATTGGAACGTTGACACTGCCAGAGCTGTGAGGTTTTCCTGTTCCATACGATGGAACTGACTGGAAACAAAAAACAGGAAGTGACACATTAACAGTAGTGGCTTATAATTTAGCAGTAGCATCATATAGATGTCAGTATGGCAGTAGAAGAATAGTTTGCTAGTTAGCTAACTGTGATCAGGCTGGGGCTAGCTTAGCACCAGGACAACATTAGTTCCTGTAGATTTGTTGTTGTTTTGACTACTAATCATCATCATTAGAATATTTTCGCTATATTTAAGCAAATTAATATTTATCAGTTTGACAAGCCTTAACTACCCCTACCCCTATTTTTCTCAAAATTTCAGCAGGTTCCAGATCCTTAATATAATTTGGCATTTTTTAAATTTTTTCTTCAAATTTAAGATTTTTTTACTGGACAGGACCTTTCTGCTTACCTTTCCCGTTTCA